GATACAAGCAATGTGGCCTTTTGTAAAAGACAGAAGGAAATGCTGTCAATGTGCATATTTTCTAAATGCCATCCAAGGTTTTTTGGTATGGCACCATCGATAATATATATTATTTTTATTATAATAAAAATACATATTATAAATTTACATATTATAATATGTAATATATAATTACACATATATACACACACATAAATATGAAATTATATGTAATTTTACATGTGTATGTATAAAATTACATGTAATTATATGTGTAATTATATGTATATATGTTTGTGTGTGTGTCCACCCAACACCCAATAATAGGGCAGTTTACAAATTGATAAAAAAAAAAAATAGCACAAAAAACAAAAGAAAAAGAAACAACATTGGTAAAGACAAAAAAAAAAAAGCCAGATGGGAACAAAGAAGAAAAGGGCCGTCATTCATGCTCACCCAAGGCCTAGGAGAAGAGCCAAGTCTTCAGGACCATTTGAAACACCAGTAAGAGTATATTTTGATCAGACTGTGTCAAAAAGCTGCATAGCTTCCAGCAGGTCAGATGCATTCTCAGAACCATTACTGTCCACTGATTTTGCTAGTCGGCATATGTTGCCACTAATTTGTGTGTTGACACTTATAATTTTTAGGATAAATACCAAATAACAAAACACCCCTGGAGATGCCAGGATGGCGATAAACTTTTAAGAAAGTTTTAAGAAAATGTTCCTGAATATGTTTAAAGCACCAGGGCCCTTCCTTGATCTTCTTCAATGAATCCACATAGCAAGGATGGTCTCCAGAATTTGACTCACAAGGAAGTCAATTTTGTGATATAACTCCTTTTTTCCCTTCCTCCACCCTTCGGAATGCTCACCATGGATTAAAGATAATTAACAAGAAAGGAAATAATGTCTGTATTTACATTCATTGGAGAAAAAGGGTTTATAAGCAAATAAACAAGCACTCAACAGCAAATGCACATTGAAAGGAATGCAATAGCACAAGCTATTTGCAGAGTGCGCCCTACTATGGAGTCAAGCTTTCACATGGATCCAAGCCACCAACTGCCCAAGAGGCAAAAGGCATCAGCTATTAATGTATTAAAGGTCAAGGCAGGGATCTTGTCAGTTTCAGGCAGCAGCCAGTTATGCCAGAGGATACTAATTAACTAAGGTCACAGAACAGAGCTTGTTAACTTGTGGGTAACATTAATTAAGGAAATACCAGGCTACAGACAAATGCTACTCAGGAAGAGATAGCTTATTTAAGCAATCTATCCACTTTGGGAGGGAGGGGGAGGGGGGAAAGGGCAGGTAGACGATGGCACTGCAAATCATAAACCAAAGTTGCCCAGCCCACACTCTTTTGTTGATAATATGGTTTCCCAGGGTCTACAAATTAGACTAGAGAACAAAGGCCAATACTCCTGGATTCACCAACCACCTCTTCCTACACTTCCATTTTTAAAGATCCTGTCCAAGATTCCTTCAGATCATGCCTAAATTTTTATCTATTCACTTGGTCCTGCCATCTACCAGATTTTCACCAGCATGTACAAGAAGAGGATAATCAATACTCTGATTATTCCTGCCCTTACTCAACACTCAGGAGAATGCAGCTAAAGAGAAGCAGCAGCAACAGGACTTCTGAGTTTGGCAGTGGACCTTCTGCCATGTATTGAGCTTTTGCATGTGACCAATGATGTTGACTTGGGTGCTGAGATCGTCACCTTCCTCTGTGAGCTCTTAGTGCAAAACTAACCTTTGTTTAGCATTTCAAGGGAGGCATTCCTAAAGCACTATCCTGAGATGTAGAGCTGGGGATGGAAACAGCGTGATTGTCATTCCATTTAATGTGCATCCAAGACTGTAACTCTATTACCCTTTAAGCAACACAGGGACACTTAGAAGTGACCCTGCCACTACAGACTTTTCTTTTCTTCAGAGCTAATAAGATGCAGGAAACATTAGTATAGTCCCAGGCTAGCTGTGTTGAAGCTGAATCTATTAAAATACCCTTGTTATTTCTGCCTGCCCACATATAAACTCTTCTTCAATTTCTTGTCATCCTATTGTATTATCCAAATAAGAGTTATGGGTAGCCTTTGCTCCATAGCTTTCCATTGGGACATTACTGTATGTGGTATTTAAAAACAGCTGATATGGGATACAACAAATATTTATGCTTTTTTTTCTTTTTGGAACATGAAAGGCTCCTATTCATTATTCCAATGA